TTACGTTGATTACGTTCTGGGGTACTCTCCAAAATGGTGAAAGACGGTAACTCGGGGAGAAGAATTGCTGAATAAATTATGTTATTATTATTTTCTTTGCGCACAAAAAGTATTCTCGTAGCTTCGTTAAATTACGGTTGAACTCCTGATGTCACATGGACTATTTTACCGATGTCCTTGCTACGTTTCTGTGCGTTGATCGTGGTAATATCCTTGCTGTCTATGGAGGGTCAGAGAGCTCTCCGATTCCATCAAAAATATCTTAATTTGTGTTCCGAAGATGAACACTTAGGGGTTTGGAACAACATGAGGGTGAGTAATTAATGACAGAATTTAAATTTTTGGGTGAACTAACCCTTTAACGGCAATTGATTACGGTGAATGCGAGTGTCAAGTCGCGTCAAATGCAAATAGAAATTACAATCACTGCCGCTATATTGTCTACACTGGATACAGTATACAGATGCGCGTTCACTTTCTGACACAGTCCACGCGCTTGAGTCTGTCGTCAGTAGGACAAATGGAGTGAAAGAATATTCACTTTGATGCGTTTGGTTTAAACAGCTTGTTCGCGTCTTTGTACAGATATCAGAAGGATCCCAGCATAAGGAACAAGTGCATAGTTTATTTTTAATGGCATCCCAGATTCAGAGGATTGTTTGGAGTATTTTGTTTAGTAAACGAGGCACAGTGTCACATGGAGAGTTCACAAAGAAACATTTGTTGAAAAATTAAGCAGTATTAGATCTGACTGCAGCTGCATCACAAACTGTAAGTAAATGATTTCATAAAGCTTTGGCTGGAAATGACCGTTTTATTTTGATCATGTTTTCAAAACACTCACATGCAATAGCGAGGGGGCACTGATACTTGTTTCCTATGCATTGACGTTAGCCAATCATAACAGTGGCTGATTCCCGACAAGCCTTAAAAGACCCGCCCCTTAAAAACAGGTAGTTTTAGACAGAGGGTCAGAATGAGGGTTGAAAATAATAATTTTTCCACATATTTATTTGTGTTTTGCGCAAAAAAACTTTATTAACCATATAAGTAAACATCTACGAACATATTAAAAACATTTTTAAAAATGTCATGACCCCTTTAAAAACAATCGCCAGAAATAAAAAGCTAAACGCAGGCTAAAAACAAACTACACATGACTTCAACGTCACCACAATTAAGCTTCTGACATTTTTAATTCAAAATCTACAGCTTGGAAAGACGGAGTTAGAATAGTTTGAAAGAGTGTGAGGAATAGCTGTAGAAGTGAACTAGGGTGTGGATGATTTTTTTCAGTTCAGCATTATGACATTTAATGTCCCAAACAACCTCTTTGATCCCTTTTAGCCACTTGTTAGCAACTGCCCTTTTTAAAGACACATAAAAGCTTTAAAAAAAAAAAATCAATGTGGTATTATTCATGTATATTGTATTGTAGAATAAAATATGAATATATCTTGAGACTTCAGGATGACGAAACCGGAAATGCTAAAATGCTAACTTGTGTCCGGGTTTTCTATTCCTAGATTTGTATTAAATTTGAACAGGGGTAGCAAACAGGAACTAGAATTGAAATTCTAATTTGAATTTAGGAAAGTTGAAATTAATTAAAAGAAAATCATATAAGTGTCAACTAACAAAAGAAAAAAAAAACAGTTGAGGTCCACTGGGAGAGGCGCTGATTCAAGAACAGATGTAAAACTTTAGCCTGCATCAAAAAAATATTTTGGATCCCAAGCCAAGAAAAACAATCCAAGTGGTAAATAATCACAACTGACATAGCAATTAAAAGCCTCTTTGTATATGTTTAGCTCTGCTAAGGTAATCAGTAAAGGTTGATGTCAGGTCTAGGCACGTTTTGTTAGCGCTGGATGGTAAATTAAAAGCTATTAAGTTTTACAATCCTGTGGGACAAGATACTTAATGACCTTCGACCTAAGAAAAAACACTATCATTAAGCTTTATGTGTAAAAATGTGCTCACCGCTTCTGGGTTCCACCGCGGAGCTGCACGTATGGGACCAGCTGTAGCAGCAGATGTACTGCATTCGTCCAGTTGACCTGATTTCTGAAATCACAGCTCTGGGCCTCACATTCCTCAAAGGTGAACTGGTACAAAGACCTGGAGTCCTCAAATACATTATTCTGCTCCACTGGACACAACAGGGGAACAACAGGGTTAAACATCTGACACAAAGCAGTCTAGACTTTCTTTTCTGCTCAGGCACCTCATAGGGAGCCAGGCCGTTTTGCAGATTCAATATGCATGTTGTGCTTATAATATAATCAATAAATCATCCAAACTCTACAGCATATGCTTGTGCCTCCGATCCAATCATTCACAGTAACAGTATGTCTATGTACCTGAAAGCAGAATGCCCAAGTCCAGGAGAATGTTCCAGATTTTGGAAGCTATCATCCTGTTCTGGATAACTTCACAACGATCCATCAGCCATTCCACAAGCTCCAGACCAACATATGTCCTCCTGAGAATATGCCAGATGAGAACAGGAAAACATTTTACTAAACAAAATAAAACCATTATAATAATGCTTTCAATAAATAAATAAATAAATAAACACTGGCTAATATTTGGCTGATTGTTTAAAAAAAGATTTATAAACCACTTTTACATTTTTGTACATTTTGAAATATGTAGATTCATAAAAGGTTTGTTAATGTGACTTTGTAAATAAACTTGTAAATTCCAATCAGTTTCTCAGTCTTAAGTTACAAAGTTAAATTGTGAAATATTTCAAGATTGAGTGATGTACTGTATATCCAAATGATTTTCTGTTGAAAGATGTGTGGCATTTTGTACAAATAAGTTTGATTTAAATGTGCAGAATCTGAAATAGATATTATTTTATATCATAACATATCTTTTAAGATTATTCATAATCCCAAAACCTTTTATTTGGTTAAGATTTAAAGTTAAATTGAAAGTTTATGAATCTCAAAATTTTCAGTGTCAAGACTTTTGGGCCCAACTATATGTGATACTTCATATTAAAGGCCCATTCACACTACAGTAAGAACGATAACTATAACGATAATGTTAAACAGATGTTAACGTTCTGTTTATTATAATAGCATGCTACAGTTATGTCGTCCGCTGTTCTTATTGGCTGCCAATGTTTTATATTACATCAACAGGAAAAATATTGTTCTGAAAGTGATTCCAATGATGTCATTCCTCTGTGCCATTACGTTTATATTGTAGCTGTGGTGTGGACTTCCCTATTCTTATCAGTGTTGGGAGTAACGCATTACAAAAGTAATAATATTACAGTAGTATATTACTTTTTGCTGTAACGCAGTAATATAACGCATTACTAATCAAATTTGGGTAATATTATTACTCGTTACAATCTCAGTAACGCAAGTTACAACAATATTATGTATATATAGATACACACATACAGTATATATATTGAAAATATTTACATGTATATATTTATATTCATATTATATTATAAATAAATATATTTAATATATAAACAACATATTTTTCTGAAATGTATACATGCATGTGTGTGTGTGTATTTATATATACATATACAAAGTACACATACATAAATTATGTAAACAAAAACTTTTATTTTGGATGTGATTCATCGCGATTAATCGTTTGACAGCACTAGTTTATATAAAATACCATAATTTTATGTAAAATTCACTTTAAAGATCTACATTTCTTAATTTCATTCATGGTGATAACATGAAAAATGTGCCATCATTTTGTGAAAGATTTTTATTAAACAAATGTAGTTTAAGCATTTATGGTCCTGAAATACCCCAACAGCGTACAAGGGTTCAACTTTATAGCTATAGTTATCAGCCTTTGGCGTGAATGGCCATATTCTATAACTAGAAATCATACATTATTGCAGTGAAGCCTACCTGATGATTCTTGCCAGTTTAACATGTGCTTTCCAGTTATCCTGGCCATTGGATAAGAAAGCATTCCTCAGTGCTCGGCCAGCACAAGGTACATTATTGACGCAAGCCTTCACAACACATAGAGAACATTCTTAAGTCATGATAAAGCAGAAAGATTTTGAGAATAAAATTTTATAACGTTGTCAGGACAGAAACAGGAAACAGAGGGTCAGAATTAAACAAGAACAAAGTATTAAACACTATTTACTCAAAATATAGAGAACATAAACTGTGTAAATACTCTTCATGTTTTTACCAGGATGTGTGTTTAATAATCTCAATCTCCCAGTTGGTTAGGAAGCTGTATCTTAACAATTATATAACCTAAAACAAGTGTTGACAATAACGCCATTCTATCAATCAAATGAATTACACTTTTACACCATGAAACAACCAGATTCTCAAGTCACTGAAGGGCTTAGAGCAATGACGGGAGGTAAATGCCTGATATACCTTGTGTCTAGTCTGTCCAGCATTTGAACAGCAGATGGACTGCTTCTGAGATATAATCTAACAGAGAGAGAGAAAGAGGTTACACATCTAAAAAACAATACAGCTCTTTGTCCTGAGACAATACACTTTGTCTGCTGTTTCTTATCTTAAAACAGCAGCGATGACGATTGCATGAAACATTCATTCATATCAACATCATGTCTAGGTTTTCCAATTCAACCACTTTTTTTCACAAAATGTCAGTTTGTTGAAAGATCAGATTGGTTGAAACATCCAGTGATAAGACCTGCGAGAACGTACAGATTACACAACAAATGACCATATGAACAATAAAAGCTATGTTATGTTATCAAAACACATGCAACAGAATTGTGAAATATACAGGTAGCTGACAGAATTGTGTCTCCAAAGAAACCACAGTAAAAAAAAAAAGCAAAGCAGCCTGTAGTGAAAGCTCATTGTGTTCTTTAGCTAATTGACTCATGTGGGTTGTTGGGGGAAACACACGGTGAAGTCATTTTTGTTGTCAGTGTAAACAGCAGCTCTAACCCCCATGTCTAGAATTTGTTGAAACAACAGGGGCCATTTATTAATACTATTACATAATGAAGAGATCAGCAACACGTGATGACCTGAAAGCTGCTTTAGTTATTATTGTGTCAAACATTAGAATTATTTTGAGACCTTTTCAATTTGTACAAACAGATGTCAAATTCGACTTTACTTTAGAAAAAGTTTTGCTCTGTGAAAAAGAACATGCAAAATGCAATACTGAAATTATATTATACGTTACTTATTAATACTCAGGTAGCTGAAATTACATGTACTTTTAAAACATAAATATAATGAACTAAAACTACTATATATATTAGTGCTGTCAAAAGATTAATTGCGATTAATCACATCCAAAATAAAAGTTTTTGCTTACATAATATATGAGTGTGTACTGTGTATATTTATTATGTATATATAAATACAAAAACACAAATGTATATATTTAAGAAAAATATGCTGTTTATATATTAAATATATTTATATATATAATACAAA